GCTCAGCTTCTAAACTGTTCCATAAGTCTATGCCTTGAATTGAGGTACATCTCTCTTTCAGACTAGTTTGAATCCACAGCTTTACAAACATTTCTATTCCCTTCAGATTGTAAGAACTGTGTCTCTTGATGAAATTAGCTTGAAGATTTGGTGGTAACATGTTTTTGTGGGCCTTATACATAAATAGCAGAATGTTGTAATCGACCAGATCATAAAATTTCAAATTTTCATTTTTATAAATAATTCATTATTAGACGGATGTACAGTATGTAGTCTTTTCTAGCAATAATTCTTGTTTTTTTATTTATTTATTTTTCTGCAAAATTTGATTTGTATAGTTATTTTCACAGATAAAGATCACATGGAGCAATTACCATTTTCTGAACTATTACATCACGATATTTGCAACAGAATGTGTAAATAAGGTCTGGACCAATTGTTTGGTCTTCATTCTCCTCTGGCTACATGTAACATGTAAGGCTGGATGGACAAGTCTTATAATTAATTTGTAAATAAGAAGTTTCTGCGCAGCTATAACCCCTCATCAAACTGGAAAGATGAACGGGTGGGCAGGCTGTGAAGCTCATTAAAGAGACAGCCTAAAAATGAGTTGATCTGAGACGCACCTCAAAGGGGTGAAAGGGGGGTTTGTGAAGTTACGATAAGGAGCAATTCAGACGAAAGCATTGCAGTTTCACTTTATAAAGACCAACTGAAGGATTTAAATGAAAGAAAGATTTAAAAGCATATATCTACTTTAACATTTTWGGAGCTGTTATGATTTCCTGAGTCATCGTTATTCTCATAACTTGTCTAAAATGAATCCAACAATACATTTATTATTCAACCTTCTGTATGATATAAAAGACTCTTAATTGTATTTTGTTTTTTCAACAAAAGACTGACAAGGATAAGATTTTTTAATTCAAAAAGCATAAGCCAGAACACAACATCTCATTAACAATCCACGTGAACTCCAAACGTGTCCTTTTAGCTACGACCTGCAGTAAGAAGCGTGCTGTCGATGGTTTGCCWACTTGATCTCACAGAAGTCTTTAATCGACGTTTTGAACGCCTGTTTCTGTTCAAGTGTTGTCAAGAGCCCTTCAGCCTCATCGAGGTGTTTCTGCTCTGTGCTGTCCTTGTGTTGTGCTGGTTGAATGTAAGATCTCAGTTATCTGAGTGTAAAAAACATTTTTTTTTTCAGTTGGAGAACAGATGCTCTGCGGCATTTTCTTCTCTTTCATGATATGCATTCTTTAGGCGCTTAMTTCTCATTGTCGTCATTGTTAAGATAATTATTTTTTACCATGAAGGTTTTTTCCTTTTTCTTTTCACATAAATCACTAAACTCCCTTTTATTGCCCCATTCATTTCACTTRTTTCTCCTCTGTCCTTCTGCTTACCTGCAGTATTGTTTATGTTTTCCATAAAATTGTCATTATTTCTCCCCCCATTGATTTCTTTTCCCTCTCTGCTGGCTCTCATCTTTCTCTCTTTGTTTCTCTCTTGCCCTCCACTAGTTAAATAAACCTCCCCTATTGCCCTCTCTCTCTCTCTCTACATCATGAGCCTATTCGCCGGAGGGTATGAATAATTTTTTCTGCTCCTCTTGGAGAACCAGAGGCCATGCCGACACCAAGGCTGGAATGCACCGTGCCCACTATGAGCCTGTTCTCGTGCATGATTACTGTTCAAGTGTCGAATGGTTGGAATTTTTTCACTGCAACTCGGTTTCTAACAACACGAAGCAGCGTGAAACAGGAAGTGTTGTTTGTAATGTAAATTACTGGACTCAGTATTGACAAAAAAATTGCAGGTGGTCACAGGTAGCGAATCCCAGTCGGCACAGCAAATTGAAGTGACTAGCAGGTTTTTACGGCATGCATACATAACAGGCAAAGGATTAAATTAAAGAATACACTCAAGGCTATGAGTGGCATCAAATGAAATTGGACATCACATAGAAAATCCCAGTGGACTTCATTAAAAATAAAATTTTTGCACTTAACAGCTTTCAGGTGAGCAAACTTCAGTGATTTAGTGTGTGGAAAAATATAACAAAAACTAGCTTTAGAAAAAAAATCCTTTTTATGGTGTCAGAATTTTTATGCATCTTTGAACAAAATAACAGAGATAAATAGACATTAACCCACACAATAGATTATTGTAAATTCACAAATAACAAAAGTTATCTTCAAAAATGAACATAAAAGGTAAAAGATGAACATAAAAGGTAAAAGCCAAAGTTCTATAATGTGAGAATTATACAAAACACTAAAGCAAAGATTAAAACAAACATAAAATGGAAGTAAACAAGGTTCCCACATGGCAGACATGTTGTGATTTGGATTAGGCCCAAATCTTTCAATGCCACAGCAGAGGTTTGGTTTATGTGAGCTGCCCTATGAAATGACCACATCTGGACCACCAAATCATTTTTTGCAATATCTTGACTGAGTGTTTGGTGTTAGCGCATTGTGTGGGCCAGTGTGGGGTGCCGTTTGTAAAGTTATACAGGCAAAAATTACCACCAATATTTTTTGTTTTATTTAGCCTTTTATGAGAAAAAAAGAACAGATTTGTTTTTCAAAGTCAGTTTTTCACCATATGTTTCATACATTTATAAATGTCATAGTTTATAAACTAAATAT